GGCTCCGAGGTGCATTGGCTGCACGCTGATGAGTTCGCGGAATACCTCGAAGGTCTTGAGTTTTGCGAGCTGCCTGAGACCATCCTCCTGCAGGTACGCCTTTCGCTTTGCTTCTTCTCCTTCTTCTTCCTTGCGGGCAGCTCTTTTCTCGTTGCGTCTGGTGGCACTCACTTTAGCCTTTGGTCGCTTGTGCCCCAACGCAGCAATGGGACAAGGTCGGGCGGCGGCTGGTGGATTCGTCGCTTGCGATTGAACGAAACGGCGAGACTTCGTGCTTCTCCCGCTTCGCCATCACCTGTAGCCAAGCCCCCGGAGGAGGCGAGGTCCACCTACACTGCACGCAACGAGCCGACTCCACCCCCTCGACGCAGCGCTCGGGCGCCGGTAACTACCTGGAGATGCGACTCTTCTACTTTGCCCCGCTCATGGACGTACTCTACTCTTACTTTGCGAAGAACATCCCCGGCGAGTTCTGGATCGATCACAGCGACCAGCCGACGTCCACGTCCACCACCGCCACAACGCCGTCCGCTTCATCTTCATCGTCGTCACAACGGCTCTCGTTTCTGGACGACCCGTCGGTACGATCACGCCTGGGCGACGCTGTCCAGGCGATGGAGGAGCGTTTGCGGTCGCTGTGGCAGGCCGTCGTGGACGCTCCGGCGGGACCCAAGCACGAACGACAAGCTGTGCACTTCCTGTGGCTGGTCGAGGAGTGGCTGCACGCGCAACAGATGCTCGCGCCCGCCGGTGATGCTCGCCTCACGCTGCCCTCTGCCGCCAGCGCCACAGAGCGCATCAAGGCGCTTTTCGACCTTCTCCACCGATTGTGTCCTCAGTGAATCAACCAACGAGGGTTGGTCTTGCTTCTCTCCGATCTCCGATCTTATTGTCTTTCGGGTGAGAGGGTAGACAGACACCGCCGCCACCATCCAGCCCGCCGATCGAGCGAAGGTTGGGCTGGGAGGGATACCCCAACAGAGCAGAAGAAGGGAAGACGAGCGAAGGTTGGTGGGTGGGTGGACGGACGAAGAGGAGGGCACAAAAAGAGAAGGTTGGCGCCAATGGGAATCGAACCCATGATCTCTCCCTTACTAGGGGAGCGCGGTGCCGACTGCGCCATGGCGCCAAATACTGCTCACTTTCTTTTACCACATAATCACCTTTTATTAAAGCGTGGGCTGCCTGGACCTGGGCAGGAGGTACCTTGCAGCTGGCTTTACCACCCAGGCCTTAAGTCCCAGCAAACAGACTGTGGAACCAGTGGCAGAAAGACACACAAAAAATTTGTGGCATTATGAAAATGCTACAATACATAGCATACACAATGATGCCACCAAGGGAGAACATCACACATGAAGCTCATCCCTAAACAGGTTGGGCACAATAGGGGACACAGGTGCAGCTTGCAGACCCACCTGGCACACCTGCTAGGCAAGCAACAGTTGCCATCCAGCAACCCAAAACCACCAAGAGCCAGGCCAGCTTGGTGCTGAGGAAACAGAACCAAGGGAAACAAGAGGAGCAGCTATCCAAGGCCAACAGGCCTCTCCCCAGAAAACCGTTGAACACGGAAGGCGCCATGGCGCAGTCGGCACCGCGCTCCCCTAGTAAGGGAGAGATCATGGGTTCGATTCCCATTGGTGCCAACCTTCTCTTTTTGTGACATCTCACTCGCTTTTTTTAACCTTTGTTGGCTCCCATGTAACGCCATTGGCACACCCTATTTTGAATTGAGTGGCATCAATGGCTCACATACCACATGTGAGTGCCTATGCCACCTTTATGATGCCTGTGGATACAGAGCCATGCCTGTGAAGATCTATGGCAGAGTCTATGCAGCAGATGTGGTCAATAGAGCTTCACCATATTTGCCACATCAAAATGAAAATAACACAGTCCACACTCAAAAACTGCCTGCACCTCCATGTAATAACCTGTCAAACCAGATTTGCTTGCTTACAGCAATTCAACTCAATCTTCTTGAAAATCACAACAAAATCAATTAGCACAGCACAGTTGAATTGGCAGCATCAATTTAAAATTACTCTATTCAATTCAAAATTACTCTGTTGGCAACCCCAAAAGTGACCTGGTATGTGCACAGTAACAGAAGCTGAAAGCCACAGCTACATGGAATACAACAATAAAGTTGTACTGCAGCACATCTACAGCCACGTCAAAGAGAAGAAGAAGAAAGCAACAAGACAGAGCAACAAGAGGGCAGCACCAGCCTAGGCATCCACTCTCCTGTCCATTCCTCTTCATCACTGCCAAGCAGGGCAACATGGTTTTAGCAGCTACCTCTTGTAAATCCAATTTCTCTATGTTTTTCTGGTTGCAGTGGGTCCTTTCAGTGTTGCTTTGTTGTTTCCACCTGGAACAATGTCACACCTTTGTAGCATGTGGTGAAGTGGGGGACTGTGTTATTTTCATTTTGACACAGCAAATATGCCAAAGCTCTAATATGCCAAAGAAGAGGCCTATAGGCTTTCCAAAGAGCAAGAAGGGTGTAGTTTAATCCAAATCATAAGGTAAGGTGTATTCAAGTCCCCTGGTCCTATTTCCCTCTCTTTTTCTCTCATAAACAACTTTTTAAATTTCTTTTGGCTTAGAACCCTCACAGAGTGCCTGTCCAGCCTGAAGGTGCCCAATTCACAACCAAAAAGGAGCTCCTTAAAGCTCTTTTTTGCACCGACTTGCCCCTACAATCCCTCAAACTCATTTGAGAAATAAGGGTTTGTAGTGTGCAAAGTAATCCTTATTAACACAACAATGTCTGTTGCCTCTGTAATGCACCTTGATGACTAACCTGCTTGTGCAATGTGTGGTTGTGGTTGTGGTTGGCCAGGAATTGACAAGCCTGATGTGCACTATGTTGTCTTCTGTGGCCTGCTGCAGTTGATGGTGCAGTTCCATCAGGGTGTGGGCTGAGCTGGGATGGTAAGAGAGCTGATGGTGTGATCTTCTGGAACTACAGAGCCAAGAGTGAGGTCCTCAAAGTCCAGAGATCATGAGGCAAAACCAGCTGAACACATACACCCCCTCCTTATATATCCACATTCTTGCACAGGGTGCAGCTCAACACCTTGATCCACTACTGCCAGGCATGGGCGCCATGATGCAGTACCTCAGCACCATTCTGTCAGTTACCCTCCAACAAGTGCCTCTGATGAGAGGCCTGGCAGTTGTTGCATATGCCCTCTGTTTCCATGGTGGCTGTGCACTGATAGGGTGCTGATATGCTATGAAGTTTAGACCACAAAAGCAATTACCAACTTGTGCTCATTTGAAACTACTTTTATATATGTAAAACTGATTTTGGACAGGCAAAACATCTTTTAGCTGGCTTTTTTTGCATTGTTTTTGGTGATACAAGAAATGGGGCTCCAATAATGCAGTTAAAAATAATTTGTGGGGTTGTTTTTGATGAGCAAAACAGATATACTAGGCCAGGTTATGTGTGTAAGTGGATATTATCAACACATTGCCTAAGTTTGTGGTGATGGTTATCCATGTTCATGGCTTTTTATTCTGTGTTCTTGTGGGTTCTGCAAAGGTGGTGTAGAGGAACTGAGAACTTGTGCTCATTTGAAATGAGAGGTAAAACATGACTGGTGCAATTTTGATGTGGTTAACATCATTGTGGGCCATCACCTTTCTTTTTTGTGTGCATTGATCTGTTGTCCTGCCACTAACCATGGGAAACAAGAGGAGCAGCTATCCAAGGCCAACAGGCCTCTCCCCAGAAAACCGTTGAACACGGAAGGCGCCATGGCGCAGTCGGCACCGCGCTCCCCTAGTAAGGGAGAGATCATGGGTTCGATTCCCATTGGCGCCAACCTTCTCTTTTTGTGCCCTCCTCTTCGTCCGTCCACCCCACCTCACCAACCTTCGCTCGTCTTCCCTTCTTCTGCTCTGTCTCTGACCTCCACAACAAAGACACAAGATCTGAGAAGGCAAAGATGGGCGGCAAACCCAGCACCCCAACAGGCAGCACAGCTTCTGCGGCAGGTCCCATCAAGCCTCCACAGGTGCAGTTCTACCTGCGCAACCTGCGACGACTCGAGGAGGAGGTGCTGCCTGAGGAGGAGCGCAAGGTGCAGCTCATCGAACAGCAGGCCAAGATTCCGATCGACGGAGATGAAGGTGCACCGACGGCGGAGGCGAAAGAACAGGATGGCGAAGATGGAAATGGAAACGGAACGAGTGGGAACAACAAGATCACAGAGGCAGAGCGGAGGGAAAAGGAGCGTCTCCTGGCCTACGAGGGGTTGATGCGAAAGCTGGTGGAGACGGACGGCTACAGTGCAGACGATGACGATCTCCGCCGGAAACGAAAGGAAGTTGTTGCCAGCATCCAAAGCCTCATGGACCGCCTGGAAGCCCTGCGTCCTCCTTCTTGA